CACCAAACAGTGATACGTAAACAATTTAGGAAAAGAACAGTTGTTCAGAAGGGAGTTTACAGGATTTAATGGTGTGTCCATTAAGAAATTCCAGACCTGAATGCTTATTTATTTACTAACAGCTTCCAATCCAGGGTTCTCCTAATCAGATTTTACATAATTTGATATGAAACAGTGATCCTCAGCCTTGGCTATACACTAAAATCTCCTAGAGAGCTTTTAAAAAATATATTGATACCAGTACCTTGGCTCCGGTCCTAGAAATTCTGATTTAATTGGCCTGAGGTGTAGTCTGAATATGAGGATTCTCTAAAACTCCCCAGATGGTTCTAACATGTAAACAATTTTGAGAGGAGGAAAGAAATTACATGAATCAACAAGGAAAGTCAATGGAGAATTAAAGTAATCCATGTGTTTGGTATGTCTCTGTCAAAAAGCAAAGAACAGCTGGTAACACTGAACCTGATGGCACATAGAGCATTGAAGATCCTCCCTGGCTCACTGCTTCAAACACACACAGTTCTTTTTGCATTTAGTCTGCTCCCAAGAGTCCGTTCTTTGTGCCTAGATCTTTACCCACTTAGGCTGAACAGAAAGATGTAAATTCAGTTAGGCAAATATATTTTTCCTCCAAAAATTTGAAGATTATTTAAAAAGACAGAATTATCATCTACAAAATAATAATGTATGTATAGCTTAAGGTATTAAATAAGACAATTGACATTCAAGAGATTGGGAAAAGCTTCACTGAGACTGGAATGATCAAAAGAGAAACAATACAAAATTTAAGTGATAATGAAAAGCAAAGCCCAGGCAAAGATATAGGAATAATCACGGACAGGAAAGTGCTGTATCTTTGATCTGGAAGGTTTCTCTCAGGGTCATATGTTATACTCCCAATTCTTTGCCACTGAGAGGTGGTGGAAACTTTAAGCCATGAAGCCTTCTGATTATTAGTCTGGCAGGGCATTGTGGACACCAGGCAATTCCTCTTTTGTTTTGATTCCTGGTCATCCATGCCATCCACCATTATGTGCTACCTTGAAACAGGCCCAAAACCAATACGTTGATCCTGCACCGAAACTACAAAACTATCATCCAAAATAAACCTTGACTATCTCAGCTATTTGTTAGAGAAACAAAAAACTGACAGTGGAAGAGACCTGCCTTATCACCTGGTGGAGTAAGATCTCAAAGGAAGGGGATCAGAAATCTCCTCTGTGGAAGTTAGTCAACTTCCCACTGCCCCTGTGATAATGTATGTTTTCAGAGAAATATTCTTAGGCAGCATCCTTCATATTGCAGAAGGCTGGTGCCATTTTTCTGTTTCCTTCTGTTATCCACTTCTGAAAAGTGACTAACCATTTGGTGTCTAAATACTCTGACAATGCTTGGCTGTGAGACACTTTTCTGAAATATACAAGACTGAGCGAGGATGAGTGAGTCAGATGTAGTGACTTGTACATAATCCCAACATTCCGGGAGGCTGAGGCAAGAGGATCACAAATTTGAACCCAGTCTGGGCAAATGCCAATCCAGCAAGATGCTGTCTCAAAGGTTTGAGCATGTAATTCAGTATGAAGGCCTAGGTTCAATTCAGTACTGGTATATATAGAACAAGAACAAGAACCTTGAGGGCATGGCCTGGAAATTCTATAATATTTGCTAAATCCCACAAGTGATTAGGACATACAGCCTAGATATAGAACAATGGCCTTATTCAGTGGCAAGAGCTGGGAAACATATGTGTAGCTTAAATGCTATTTCCTGTGCTTAAATGCAAGTATGCATAGAGTACACCTTGAAACACATTTTCTATTTAAATTGCTGGAAACAATCACGATAAAGAAAATATTGATGATGATAACTAATAAAAGCAAGTTTGAAAAGACTCTGCAATTTGGAGGGGCTCAATAAATCCAAATTTAGAAACATGTGAAATGTCATCTCTACTTAGTAATAGCTGATGGGATTGTTGAATGCTCCAAAAATTAAAACGCATTATATTAACCCTGTTGTTGGGAGTTTGCAAGTGTACTTATGGAACTGAAATCTGTTTAAGATTAACTCAATGGCCAGCTTCAGACTTTTCAGCATATATTTACTGTACCCTTAAAATTACTTTTATAATTAAGTACCAATTGAAGTCAGATACTCACCACCATGGAAGGCAATGTGGACTGAGAGAGACTTAGGTATCCCCAGATAAGTCAGATCTTCTTAATCATGATATCAACAACTTTAAATGTTATCACATCAGCATATGATTAGGGGTTGGAGTAATCACGATGAGAGGGGAGAACAAGAAGTGTACTTTTAGAATATTTGGGAAAAAGATGGAATAGGCAAATTTGGGTGAAACTTCTATCCTTTTGCTGGATGACAAATATTATTCATTTATTCAGTGGATCATTTCTAAAATGATGATACTTAAAAGTTAATATTCTTTCACTTGGGATAAAGAACTGTCATTGAGTGTCTATGAAATGAAACCTTCACGGAAACTCAGAATTCTTTCATCTTCTTTAAGGACTGAACTAGTAAGTAGAAGCAAAACTTAAAATACAAGTTTAATAATCTTTATGAAGCATCTGCCAATCTTTTTCTCAGTGTGGCTTATTTGAGGCTCTGTTTCTGATACATTATTTCATAAGTAATTGAAAATTACCAAAAACTGTATTAATGTCAAGTTGTTTGATAGTTCCTAAGAATAGATGCAAGATAATATAAATGATAAATCTACTTCCAGTGATAAGATTTTGCCTTTCAGTAGATCTTATGTAACAGCCTATAACTGCCCAGGCTTTCAACAACAGGCAAGAACACTAACACAGAACACATAACCTCAATCTAAGTAGTAAAATTACAGCCATAAATTTCTTTGCCTACTGTCTCCTGCCATATTCATTTGTTGTTACAAATAGTTTAATATAGACAAAGAGGGCAGTCTACCTAATATCCCTATATTCTTTAATTCTCTGGAAAATGGCAATTATCAATGACAACAAAGAAACAGAAAGCAAATACCCTCACAGTTTTGTTGCTTTATTCAAGTCAAAACTTCAAAAAAACCTCTTTTTTAGTGGATAGTCATATACAATTAGAACCTCCCACCTCTTAATGAGAACAAATGAGGCTTAATTGAAACTTAATCTTAAAGCAGTCTCACCTAGTAGAAATAGCTCAAGAGCACCAACTAAAACACAAATGGACACGTGGTTAGAGAGGAAAACCTTCGATAGAGAAGTATGGGCAATCATCATACGTGTAGGGTAGGTTTACATAAATAACTTAGAAGGCATGGGCTTGCAGTGATCTGTCCGATACTGATGGCGAACCTGAAAGCCCTGTCACCGGATAGAGGATCCAATACTCACTGATGCTTCAGAGCATCACTGCACCAAGCCCCTTCTTCTCAGCAACAGCCTTGCTTTCAGGACTTGGGAACAGATTTAATTGTAAAATTGTAGAAAACAATGCAAAAGATTTGTGAAAGTGATTTTCCCACTTTGCGTCTTAGTTTTGAGTTTATAGAATCATAAAACATTCCCTGAAAGGGATTTAGCAATTTATTTTATAAGTAATGATATTTGTGAATATTTCAAGGCCCTATTCGTAGTTTGTAACTAAACTGCTTGCAATAACAGCAATACTGAGAGAGAGAGAGAGAGAGAGAGAGAGAGAGAAAGAAACAGAGAGAGAGAGAGAGAGAGAGAAACAGAGACAGACAGAGACAGGGGCAGAGACAGAGAGATTTCCCTCTCAGATTCTACCAACTGGAAATTCTTTGAGGTTAACAACTAACTTTTTAAAAAAGTGTTAAATTCATTGGTTATTCCCATATTACTGCCTCCAGTGCTTTAGACAGGCAGCATCTAGATGCTTCTGTGAAAACATGAAAGGGAGATTTGTTTGAGACCATGTGGAGGGAAAGCCTCTGGGCCACAGGAATGTGGGAATCTTGCTGGACTTGCTGTAAGATCTGCAAACATCTCTTCCTGGGTCCTAACTTTATTTGATGTCTTTGAGCCCCAGTTTCTTTATCTGTATAACCAAAATAACAGAAATATCCCCAGATTGATGTAAAATTAAATGTTAGGTATTGGATAAATAAATGATTAAAAAATGAAAATAACTAAGCAAAATGGCTAGCCTTAGAAGATTTTTGGCTCTCTTTGTTTTCCTATGCTTACATGTATCTTTTTGCCAGAAACTTCTACTAAATCTCAAGTCATTCAGAGACCACTGGATCTAAATTTCCTTACCCACAAAATGAAGCTAGAATAACTTACTTCATAATGTCCTTGTGAAGAATAAATGTAATAATGTCTGTGAATGTGCTTTGCACAGTATGTGCTGTAATACATGTAAGGGATTAATACTACTATCATTAGTAACCACATTCCCATATGTCAGACTTAACATTTTGTTTTTTAGTCTGTTTGGAATAACTTTTATCTTTTCTCTCCAAGTACCTGACCACCTTCCTACAGGCTTCAATTTGTAATTTCTTTCTAGGAAAATCAAGAGTTTCAGAGTATTTGTTTTTACTAGTGAAATCCATTCTGTCTGTTCTGTTCAGGGTGACCTCTCCCTCTATCCAACTCCCTTACATCACTGGTCATCTACCTCCTTTGTCATCTGCGGCACATTGTTAGTCAGGTTTTTGCACTTACCTGTTTGGTTTCCTCTACTACATCATCGGACACTTCAAGGACAAAGAATGTGTTTGTATTTTTCATTCTTAAAGCAAACTCCACAAGTGTAGTTGTACACTTTAATCAGAGTTGGCTCATGATGCTTATCTGTTGGATAATCCAGTGCATACAGTATTATATTTATTCAATAGTCTTTTTAATGACAGAGAGCTAAGTTGTGCATAGCAGTACATGTCTGAAGTCCAAGCCACTGAAGCAGGAGAATCACTTGAGCTCAGGAGTTTAAAGCCAGCCAGGCAATACAGCAAGACCCCAAATACAAAAAAATACCAAGAGGCTCAGCAGTGTAAACAACCATTTATTATGCTCTTGTATCTGTAGGTCAGGAATTTGTTGGACAGGGCACAGAGGGGATGGTTTGAATCTGTTCCAAGATGTCTGACACTAAATAATTGAAGGCTGGAAGCAGGCGTCCTCTGAAGGCTCATTCACTCACAATGAAAATGAGCCATCAGCTGGGAACCTAATGGAGCTGCTGACTGAAACATATGTATGTGGCCTGTCTCTGTGACCTGGGCTTCTTCAAAATGCTGTGGCTGCATTCCAGACGAGAGCCCAGCGGAAGCTGTAGCCTCTCTGTGACCTAGCCTCCAGTCACACAACACCACTTCTGGGACCCTCTGCTGGATGGAGAAGTCACAAGCCCAGCAAGCAGAAGGAAAATAAATTCTATCTCTTGGTGTAAAGTAGCCTAGTTCTGAAAAAGCATGTAATAAGAGATGTGCTGCTATGGCCATTTTGGGAAACGATAATCTGCCACAAGATTTTACTGCTCTAATGTAATACTGTCGAGTTGTACTGGGTTTTAAAAGTAATGGATTATCTTACTCTTAAGTCTCTAAGTAGATGATCAAAAATCTAAGGTCATCTGCTATACAGTTTGAAAGAGAGGCATGAAAAAGACCAGGGTATGGCAAGCACAGAGCTCCAAAAAGGTTGTCTCCATCTTCATGCTATCACAGTAGGGAGTATGCATTTGTAAGGAACACCAGCATTCAGACCACAGCAACCAAAAAGGGGTCTATGGAAAAGCTTTTTTAAAGCACTGAGTTAAACATAACATTGACCAAAATGAATTTGTTGGACAGGGCACAGAGGGGATGATCTATTAAAAACAAAAGAGAAAGGCAACCTTTAAAATGCCAGGCAAAGAGAGGAAAGGAGAGGCAGAGGGAGACAGACAGAGAGGACACACTATACATAGAACTGAGTAAATCTGAATAAAGATTTCATACTATATCCATGCCACCTTCCTGGTTGGGATGCTGTACTACAATTATGAAAGATGGAGAAACTAAGCGGAAGATAGAAGGAGTCTTTCAATGTTATGCTTTTCAACTACATGTAAATCTACCATGAAATCAAAATGCAAAGTTCACATGTACACACACACACACACACACACACACACACTCATACACACACACACACAAACACAATTTTCCTAACATATTAACAGTTACTTTTCCCAAGTAACAAATGTCATCAAGAGTAGACAATGCCTTTCTCCAGAAGAGAAGCTCCAGTATCTGGCTGCCTTTCAGTATCTATGATACTACCAGAGGGAAGATATTTTTGCGCAGGCAAGTCTCTTAGTAATGCTCAGATCTCTTGACATCAACAGCTGCCTGCTCCACCTACACTACCTCCTTCCAGTGGATTGAAAATAAAAGTGAGTTGTTATTCATGAAGAACTGTACTTAGCTGTGTCCAAGTCGGTAACCATTTCTACATTTACCTGTGGTATATAGTGAAACTTAAACATAAAACTGCGTTTCCTAAATTTTTGGTTTTTGAAGAAATGAAAAGTCTGCTTTTGAAATGTATGTCTAAAACCCAAAGCATAAGCAATAAAACCTGCTGAATTGAAATGGGTGTGTAAAAGCTTCCTCTCTTCCGCTCCTCTCTGCCCCTGCGGAGGAGTAAAAGCCTTTTGCTCTGTCAACAGTCAATCAACAAATATTTACAACCTTTTCAACAAACTATTTCAACCATTACTAGATCATTAGGGAGGACTTCAAATTTGCTGACCCTTTAAAAGCATTAGGGATTTAACTGCAGAAAAATGAAACCACACACATAGTTAATAGAGTTCCCACTGTGCTCTCGTACTTCAACCACAGAGAGCTTTTAAAAACCAATTTGTGGTTCTGGACAAATGGTCTAGACTAGCATAGGAACCCAGAACAGAAGCAACTGCAAATGAGATAGGCAAATGGAAACTTCTAGATACTGTAGTTTTATTCAATTATACTAGATCTTGTAAACTAAAAAAAAAAAAAAAAATTGAACTAGAAAGTGAACACTTGCACTGTTTGTGCCTTTTATCAGAATGATGGAAGGTGTCCTGTAATTGGTACTTTGGTAACACGCCTTTACATATAAACTGTGGGCCAAGATGAGCAAGGACCTGCTTGGAATGCTGATTTTACTAATTTCCTTGCACATCTCTCAGTAGCTCAGCAGGTTAGGAATGTTGTACATGTTTGCAAGATTGAATTTATTCTTCCAAGAGTTATTGAATTCCAAAATGAGTACTTAAAACCTCATAGAGTGTGTAGAGAAGAAATAAAAGAATGTTCTTTAATATCTCTTCAATGTTCTATAACCCTAAACATTTTCTAAAAACAAAGTCTACTGATGCCTTCCCTGGAGCCAGGTTCCAGCATGGGATCAGGAAGACTCAGCAAGAAGATAAATCATGCCTTCCTGTGATGCACGGGCGGGGAAACTAGAAGACCACTCTACTGCCACCCGCTACCACGACCGCCGCTACCACGACCGCCGCTACCACGACCGCCACTACCACGACCGCCACCAGGAAGCAACTGGGTGATTCAGAGAGTTCAGAGTGAGATGAGAGCAACTAAGGTGAAAGGAATAGCTTGATGCTGGTGTTGTTTGATTGACTTTGCAGGCCTGGGGCTGGTGGTCTGGACATCTGTTTGGAGGATGGCAGGGTGCATGTGGCAACTGTGGGGGATTTTCTTATGTCTTATTTTTGAAATCCAGTGTTTTACTCTATTTTACTGTTTTGCTTCATTCCAGAATCTGGTAACAAGATGACTATTTTGAAGATAACAATATGCACTAGAACAACCTGGTTAAGTTCCTGTCATCTTGTTCTGAAAACCATATAGCTATTGTTGTTTTGTTGTTGCTTTATAGGTTTGTTTGCTTCTCGATTTGTCTGTTTTTTTCTCTTTAAAATAAAACAGAAAGTTTTTTTTAAAGTCTTAATTATAAGACATAGCAAAAACAAAACAAACAGAAAAGCTTCATAGGGAGGCAGGGTTAAGGCTATACATAGATCTCAGTAACTTCCTTATTTTGTGTACTGGTGTCCTCGATTTTTCTCTTTCAAGTAAGTGTAACAAGAAATCTTTCCCTTCTGCTTCTCCATCCACTCTCCCCCCACCACCCCCAAATTTGCTGATTCTATTTTGGAAGGACTACACTGATGAAAGCAAGAAGAAATAACAGAAGGAGGCAATCCTAAAACTGTCATGATGGGAAGAAAAGAGGACAAAGCCAAACTGTTCCTAGTGGCCTCAGTCCGTTCAAGAGGAGGCAAGCTGAGACTTGCTGACACAGAATGTTCCAGAAGAGAAACTAAAATCCCTGAGAGAGATCCTCAGGTATAGGGCCAGTCATCTTCCCAGTGCTCTGTAGTAGAGAAATGGACACATACCCTGGAATAAAGAAGAAAAGAGCATTCTGTTATTGACATATGGACCATCTGCAGGACCAAGAGCAGGCCGGACTGGTGGCTATGTCTGGCCCTGAGTAGGGTCAAGAACCCTTGTTGCTGTCAGATACAGAGATGAAGTGCGTGGGAAAGACTGCCATTCCTAAACCCACATTCCTCAAGGATCCTCTCCTTTGGCTGAGCAGAGGGAAGGATTGGATCAAGACAGTAGTTCCCACAGGTCACGGGCAAGAAGAGCAGAAAAATTAATTTTCCACAGTAGGACACCCCATCTCTGTCCCATGACTGGGATGGCCTGGGGGGAATACCTGCTATGTAAGTAATCACTGAAACGATTCACCAAATCACTGAAATGATTCACCAGTGTTATTGAAACACTGCCTTCTTTGTCATAAAAATGCACACCAATTTTTTAAAGTAAACTTACTTTCAGAGAGTCAAAAGACACGACCTATTTCATAGAACATAGACAAGTAAGATTGCCGTGTTCTAACTCTCATCATTGTTCAGTCCTGCAGAGATTTATAGGGACATCAAACTAATGGGACACAAAATTCTGAAACTTCTGCGTCTACTCACATTCATCTCACAGCTCTGGAAAAAAGCTTCTCTCCGCTTGAACTCTTTGTAAAGTGAGGATAACATCTCTAGGGAAGCATCCACCACATCTCTGCACCTCTACTGACAATTTTTTTTAGTTGAGTAACTCTAAAGAACTTTCCACTGTACAGAATACAACTTAAAATATGAGAGGACAATACCAACTCTGAAACTTCAAACTTCTAAGTTATTTACAAGGGACTTCTCAGAAAGGTCAGTTAATTACATTTCCCCCATCTGAAAAAGCCTGGAAGAGTATATGGTAATTTCCTATCAGGGGTCAGTGTCGAAGAAGCAACATCCAGAGCTTTCCAAAGTTCTTTGCAGTTCAAGAGTATGGAGCTAATCCTATGATTCCCAGCAGCAACTCAACAGCAGTCTCGGGATTATACATGGTGTATGTACAGGATTGCCCAAAATCCTCCGAAGTCCAGTCTTCCAGATACGGATGATTACTGGACTGTATTCCACTTCCTCTAGTATACTTTGGGTGACAGCTCATGCTAAAGTCATAACCAAACTCCAAGCCCTTCTCTGTTTGAGCATTCCCTGTTATGTTATAACTTCTAATCCATCCCATCCTGTTGCCTGTAAATGAATCCAGCTCATATACACAAATGCTGGAAGTGTAGGAAATCCCACAGGCCCTGGGTGCTCATCTGGGATTTGTCTTAACTGTTTAAGATTAAGAAACTTGCCCACAATTATACAGCCAGTAACTGGCAAGACAAGCATTTGAGTCTTAGTTTTCCTAACTGCAGAGTCTGTGTGAGGGTGATGGAACTGTCAGATGGCTCTCAAGGACTCTGCTCCGGAAAAACAATATTCTGATTTGATTTGTCAGATGACCTGGTCCACATTAAGAGAGTCGGTGTTCAAGGGATTAATTATGAGGCATACAAAGACTCTCAGGCTCTAGTGGCTCTCTAAATTTCAAGTGTTGAGCCTTCCATGAAGATGGTCAAACAGTAAACAACAGCAAACCAGCCTCACCAAGGTTTGGAATCCAAACTCTGGAAGATAACAAGTTGGAGAAGAAATGAAGGATGGAGATGGATCCCCAGGAACCAAGAAGGACCTGAAGGAAGAATTGGACCCCACAGGGCAAAGGAAAAGACACCTCAACAAAGAAAAAAGAGGTGTCAAATTGCACTTTCTCAGTGACCCCCAGTTTAAGATGAGAGAGAAGAGGCTTAAATCGACAGCAATGTAATAAGGGCAGATGACTCCAGAGGCCTCCATGGCCTCCACAGAAAAACAGGCCAGCAGAATTCATTCAAGCAATACAGAGATAGTTCAACATATGCAAATTGATAAATGTAGTATACCACATTTTCAAAAGCCAAAGACAAAAACCACATGATCTTCTTAATAGATGCAGAAAAAGCACTTGGCAAAGTCCAACACTTATTCATGATAAAAATCCTACAGAAAATTTTAACAGAAGGTCTTTATCTCAACCTGATAAAAGCCATCTATGACAAACCAACTCAGCATCATACTAAAAGGTAAAAAACTGGAAGCCTTTCACTCCAAAATCAGGAAGAAGACAAGGATGTCCACTATCACCACTCCTACTCAATAAACTTCTGGAAACATTAGCCATAGCATTTAGACAAGAAACAGAAATAGGAATAAGGATAGAAAAAAAGAAATTAAATTGTCATTATTTGTCAATGACATGATATTCTACATAAAAGACTCACAAACTCCACCAAAAGACTCCAAGATTTAAGAACCAGATTCAAGGATGGAACAGAATGCAAAATCAACACTCAAAAATCAATAGTATTCCTGTACAATAACAAACTCACTGAGAGAGAAATTAGGAAAACAACACCCTCAGAATACCACCAAGAAAAATGAAATACTTAGAAATCAACCTAAAGAAGGAAGTAAAAGGGTTTTCCATTGAACATTACAGTGTATGAAAAAGGAGACTGAACATGGCATCAGAAAATGGATAGATATCCCTTAGTCTCACATAAATAGAAGCAATATAGTGAAAATGGCCACACTTCCAAAACAGCTACACAGATTCAATGCAATCCTGATCAAAATACCAATAACATACTTCACAGAACTGGAGAAAAAATCCTGAAATTCATATGGAACCAGAAGAGACTGCAAATAGCAAAATTCACTTCTGAGCAACAAAGGCAAAGTAGGTCATCATCATCCCTGACTTTAAATTATAGTGTAAAGCTACTATGATAAAATCAGCATGGTATTGGCCAAAAAAAATCAGATCCAAGGATCAATGGAACATATTATAGATGCAGAAGCAACTCCAAACACACTTATCCACTTTATTTTCAACAAATGGGCCAAGCACCTTCACTTTGAAGAAAGCATCTTTAATAAATGGCGCTAGAAAACCTGGCTTTCCATATGCTGAAAATTAAACCTAGACCCATGTTTATCACCATGTACTAAACTAAAATTAAAATGGATTAAAGAGCTAAATAGTAAAACAGAAACACTAAATCTGTTGGAAGATAGAATAGGTAAAACATCCTCTTTGATCTCCTTACTTCACCTCTGCAGAAGTTGCCTGAACTATGTCTTAACTTGCTATTCCTATAAGTCCTTGTTTCTTCTACTTGTATAACACAAAAGCAAATTTTTCCACTGGCTTTTTCACCCTAAGCATTCTGAACATGTTAAGACTAAATTCAGATCTTCTGAGAGCAGCATAATTGTTAAGAATGTGGTTGGGCCCCCATTTACTAGGCATATACACACAATTTACGTGACCACATTATGTTGCTTTCAGGAGCATATTCTCAAGTCACACAGAAGCAGCATGAAGATTAATGTACACTCACTTTCAAATCATTGCAGCCATATAATGAGACCATTCTCTCTGCTGAGCTTGTCTCAGCACTTCTCAGCCTCACAGTGTTTTGTCAAGTTTTTTAGACTTGGATGTGAAACCGCCCTGTGGGTCTGAAATTCAGGAGACTGAACTATAAGCCCGTGATTAGATTTTTTTTTTTTTTTTTTTGTCTTTTTTCCTTTTTATCAGTACCGGGGATTGAACTCATGACTGCCTGCTTGCAAGGCAGGCGCTTATGCCACTGAGTTAAATCCCCAGTCCCGTGATTAGATTTTTTGATGAGAGGTTCTCTGGGAGCTGATTGCTTATTACAAGAAATGCAACAAAGATTGCACAATTCTTAAATTGTTGCATTTTGAAATGAAATGGAATTATCTGTCATCCAGAACAGGATTTAGTATTGCTATCTGTTCATTTTGGTTTCTTTTTTGTACCAGGGATCAACTCAGGACCTTGCACTTGCCAGGCAGGTGCTTATGCCACTGAGCTATCTCCCTGGCCAATATGGCTAGTTAGTGACCAACTAAAAACAACTGGTTTAATACTTTGCAATTTTTATCTAATACACTTTCATGTCTTAGATATATTACACATAAATAGAAGATATAAGACTTTAGTCTCCACTTTTATGAAATGTAAAAGAGTTACATATTTTATCTGATTCACTCCGATCATGTGTCAAGGCACCCTCTAAACTCTGGGGCTAAAGATAATTTTGTAAATACAGATTCGGAGAGAACATGGCGGACAGACAACAGCAACTACCAGAGGCTCTCTGAAAGGTTCGGCTCAGAGGCCAGAAATAATGCGGACTAGGGAGACACGAATCAGTAGAGATATGCTCTGCTGACTCAGGAACGAACTGGGCTGAGAGAATCCAACTTGGAATACAGTCCTGGCGCTAAAATAGGAACAGAAAAATCTCGGTGTGGAGGCTCGACTCCGCGCCTTTGGAAACCGGTTTGGATTTCCCGCCGTGCGGCGGCCGGCTATCTCCACAGCGGCTCAGCAAGGAGAGACGCGCCGAGCTCTGGGAGCGCCGAGCTCTGGGAACGGGAGAACGGAGTCGAAAAAAAAAAAAAAAAAAGGACGGACAGAGGTGTACACGAAAACTGACTGGTGGCGAGGTGAGTAAGAATCTGACCCCCCACCACAGTTTGACTCTAGCGGAGATCTCTCTGGGCGCCATTCCCCTCTCGGACGGGATTGGAGAAAAGTCCCTGGCCTGAGTGACGCTGCTGGCGGACTCTCTAGGCCAGACTAGCCTAACCCAGATCCCAGAGCCGGACGATGGCCCGGAGGAGCGACTGACTTCCGCGTAGGCTGCCTCCTCCGACTCCCTGGTGCGCAGCGGTGGGCGGGAACAACTAGCCAGCGCAATTTGATCAGGCTGTGGCTGACAGGCAGGGAAGCCGGGCCTCCTTTGTAAGATTGCATTTTATAAGGAACAAAAAATATGGGGAAGGGAAGCAACAAAAAAAGCTCCTCAGCCCCCAATCCTGAGAAACAGGCAATAATGGACGCCGCACCAGTATACATTAAGC